GTCTGAGAGTATCGAGATAGGCGGCTCACGATGTCTGCCATTAATACTCTTATTCGAGTTCAAGTGCACCGTTGGCGCTCTATCTGGCCCCCGGAATGCCGAAAAGAGGCTGCATGAAATCAAGCGTGTCTTGGACTCAGCTCAGTCTAGAGGCATAGCGTCTAAGGATTGGCTTGAGGTTGGTCGTGATTGCTGACCGTTCTCAGTGACTGGTCGCCCGAAGATACTCACATCTTGGTGCTTGAATCGGCGTCCGCCAGCGTTAGATGTCGCGGGTATGGTTTTGTCGATTCTAACCAGTTCACCTGCTGATGCGGGCACTATGCTGCCGGTCTATTATCGAGAGTGGTTACGGGCTCAGGAGGGAGCTGATGACTCGACGCTACAAGTAAGACCGTTAGTCTCATCGACTACGGAGAGCAGTGCTTCTCAGATCCTGGGCACCTTGTTGACTCTTCTGGAGGAAACTATGAAGAATAATGGAGTTGCATATCTGAAAGAGGTACACTGTATCCATTCGGATATTTGAGTACAGTCTGATTGACCAGCTCTCAGATCGGGTATAGTGCGGAGGAGATCAACTGGTTACTGTGTTACTCATGGGACCGGGCAGTCCTACTATACAGGTGAGCTACCATGCAATTATGTACCATCTCAGTCGTTGGATTGCTTGATGTTCTTTTTTCCTCCTAGTACAGCGGCTTCGTAGCGGTAATGTATCTTTATTTGTCTCTCAGACGATGTAGTTATATCCTTGCTGAGCGTATGATGAGCAAGAGCATGTCGTTTCTGAGATTTGCCCCTCCCGAGACCAGAGATTCCCTAGGAGGTGGGTACAACTCGCCGAAGCAGCTTCCCAGCTCGTGATGATAGCAATATTAGCAGGTCTCATGACACAAGCGTATGATCAATGCTTGCAACGGGTACCGACATAGCAGCCTCAGTGGACTGTCTGATCATTAGGGAATCACCATGTGGTTCGCCGCCGTATCGTGTCCAGTCATGATCCTTGGTGACCTCTTCATGTTTCTCATCTCAACCTATTGCGTCAGAGTTGAATGTGAATCTGTGCAGTCGAAGTCACCGCCGAGTCTTCGTCTATGGAACGCACTTTGGCGGCACCACTCCAGTACGGAACGGCAGAAGTCACTGGTCTCGCAGTATGTGGCTGGGTTTGAAAGTGTCTCAGTGTTTTGGTGGCCAAAGGAGAACTATACTCGCGAGCCGCGCTACGGAAATGTATATTCTCCTCGCGACCGAATAGAGTAGGCGTCAGCTCCGAAAGCTGGTCCAGCGAGAGTCCGACACCAACGTGTACAGCTATGAGGCGTTGCATAGATGGCATACTCTGCCGAGTATTGTCATGATGAGCGATCCTGATGGAGTGCTTGGGTGCGACTGTGCTAGTCTCAACTCGCCTTCATGGCTGTCTTTTTTCTCTGAACCTCTAGCTTCACGAAGCTTCAAACCTTGGCACTATGTTTCAGGCGAGGATAGATCTCACGTTACAGATTGAATATGGCTAATGGAGTGTGAGATTCCGGACGACCAAGAGGTTCGGGCGAGCTCGTTTGTATTTGAAGAGCACTGTTCTGCTTGCACACGCAGCGTCCTGAGGCAGGTACGCGGCTTCTTCCTTATCGCAACTCCGGGGTTTCCGTGGAGATGACAACAGCGAGGCCTAGAGTCCCACAGAGATGCCCTTCTAGTTTTCTGTATTGAATTACCGCGCAATAGGATGCTCTTAGGAGCCGTATCTGGCGGGCATTGTGGTGGCTACTTCAATAGTGACTTTAGCCCGAATGTGCTATACCTTGCTACATAGCTTACGTTATATTCTTTCTGTCATATGAATGGCCCCTGGGTGTTTCTTTTTGGATGCTCTCTGCCTTTTGTTCTCGTCAATGTAGCATGAGTTCCACTCAGTCGGCGACACCGCAGGCCGCTGGCCGCTCTCGTTCATGACGTGATATGGCCTCATGTAATCCACTCAAGCGGAGTTCCGCTAACACTGAAAACGCATATCACAAAAGTGGCTCTCATCCGGCTCCACAGCTCATTCGTTGTTAGTGCGTGCTAAACTGCTGCTACATCCTCCGCAGAGTGTGAGATCTTGATGTTTATTGTATACCTACCCCAAGGCTTTGGATCGTGTCCCTCGTCACCAATGCCACTGCGCATCCTTTTCTACCTTCTCGCTATCATCACGACAGTCGAAGCATCAGAAGCTCGACACAATGCTACTACAGTGACAACACCTACTGATCCGTGGTTCTTCGTTATGGTGAGGGACTGTACGTATCGGCTCTGTGAGGCGCCCACTCTGTCGAGGTTATCGACGCTGGATCAAGTGGATCACGTATGAAAGTATTCCAATACCGTCTACCTCCACCAATTGATAATTCATCGGCGGCGGACTCATTCGACAGATACATCGTGTGTAAGCCCAATAGCGTTAGTAGAGGGAGACGAGTGCATTCCATCCGGGCTGACTCTTCTCGTGAAGATGGTCCTCCAGTGTCTCAGATGTATCACTTCAGTCCCCGAACTCATCGGCTCGTTTAAGACATCGCCTGGTATATCTTATTCGGCGTTAGCACCTAGTGGTGTGGTGAAGTCATTGTTGGCTCTAGTAGAATATGCCAAAGGTCGACTGGCTGCTGTGAGGCCATTCTGGAAATACTTCCCTATTTACTTGAGGGCTACGGCTGGTACGGAAGTGTGCTCTGAGTGGCTCACCATGATTTTCTGATTTTTTGTAGGAATGCGAGATGTGGTGCCAGCCCGACGAGATGCTCTGATGAAAGAGTGTATTCGATACCTCAAGGAGACGCCATTCTATTTTAGAGAGGATTACGCCCAAGTGTTATCAGGTGATTATTCACCACGCTTAGGCTGCTCACTTGTGAAAACCAATTCCAAAGCAAGATATTCAAGAGCTTCACTGAGTATTCTCATGCTCGGAGCTGTGAGTCGATCGGGACCGCGAGAAACGTACCCGTTCAGGCGAGGAGGAAGCGGCTTTCGGGTGGTTATCTCTCAACGCCGATAACCGCACGCTTGCCGGCTACAATCAAGACGCTAGTCTCGGTTGGCTTGATATGGTGATGATTTTCATGATGGTGTTGCATCACACGTTAGCCTCAGGGAGGAGCCTCCTTCCAAGTCGCCTTCGTCCCAACACGAGCGCATTATGTCTTGCAGAATCTCTTCCCTCTAGCTTTGTCCCCCAGAGGATATTCCTCCATTCGGTGAGATCCCTCGAGATGTATTCAGCCTTGTCAGTTCCCCCTCTTCTATGAACAACAACCTCATTTCTTTTTCGCAGACTGTACACGAAGTCGTATCTGCACTATGGTTTGGTTGAGGCTAACAGACGAGTGAGCGCCGCGATAATATCGAAGGAACTCCTGAGGGTGAGATCCCTCGATCGGATAGACGATAATGGGAGAGCGAGTAGTCTCCCTGCTTGATCATGAACCTTAGGTGGACTCTGTGTCAACCATCAACAATCCCTGTTACTTTAAAGGCATGGACTACCAGCCAGACTTCGCTACTGCACTATTCCAAATACCTTTGGCAGTAGTTATGCGAGGCACTGGCGACTTTGGTACCCATTGTTCCTCATCGGAGATCATTAACAGGGTTGATTCAGATAAGTGTGCATCGTTGGTACGGCAGCTGTTTGGGTCGAGCAACACCCTTTGTTGGGTTAGAGATTGCACTTTCGACGGTGTGTATCAACCCAGGATAGATAACACACGATTCGTCGCGGTCAGCAACTTTGCTACGGTAAACCGGTGATGCAGCGAGCTGATGGAGTCACACTGGACCGTCATTGAACGACGTGCATCCCTCAACAAATATGTCCTTATGGCATAATAACGTTATTTGCCCTGTATGGCAGGTGGCAGACTCACTCGGCTTGCACGCTACTGGAAGCCTTGAGGAGTGGCACCAAGCAACCCGGCGTGTATGTTCTATGGCTTACAAGGAGTTCACGACAACCTATTCACACGTGAAACATCGACGTCGAGATGGGCTCTGCTTTGACGCCACTTATCTCTACGTTTTGCTTAGTGAGGTACGCATATCAACGGCTTCAGTGTCGTTGGTGCTTCTCGACACATCCTTGTTACTTGCAGTTTTTGAAGTTCGGATCGGCAGTAAATACAACTCTAGAGTTTAGAAAGTACACGAGATCTGGGATAGAGCTCGACTGGACATCAGGGAGCGTTACCTACACTGTAAGACTACAGTGTTAATTTTTTCGCTCCCACTTCGAATAAATGTGTTCGTGTCAACTGTAGGCGAGCGCTACGCCGACAGTAACTATCGCAGCTTACAGGAAAGAAGTTTCGCTGGCATATGTTGAGAGCCGGGAAGGCTTTCTGGGGGAATTGAGCGAAGAGGTAAAGGAAGCAGTATAAGTGTGTGATACGTGAGGTTGATTTTAATACGTGTACACAGTACTCTACACGTATCGATTCTTATATGCTACACGGTGTAAGTATTGGAGTTTGCGGAGTTGACTAATATGCTGCATGCTGCATGCTAACCTCCCTCGTTACATCCGACACTTTCCTTGTCTGTGAGGATGTTGTTTCTCGATAGGCTTTGAATGCTACATTTGGGGAGACAGGACTCCGAGGAACCAAGCCTCTGTTCGTGGATGACTCCTTCCCACCATACTCGAATGATGATGATGAACTACTTGAGGAGTTGGAGCTCGAGGAGCTGTTATCGTCGAGGTACCGCGACATCCAGCACAGAACTGGTCAGCACATGGAAGGCATGCTCGCCGATGTTCTCCATTCGACGCTGACCACAGTCAGACAAACTTAAAAACTTTCGCTTTTTCTCAGGGAGCCGGAATTAGCAAGGATACCAGAACTGGATATTATGACTTGATGGCATCAAGTTGGTGCTTCGTATTCTTATCGCGTAGTCGATGGAAAAACATCGTCCCACGTGGAGCGATGAGGTATGCGAAGCAGGTTTACTCATCAGGCAACTCAGTTGCCGCAGCTGCGCTTTCAGATACGTGTTTCTATACGAATAACGCTTAATCATGAACCATCGCAGTACTTGTACGACCACACGATACTGTGAATCTGCATTATCAAACTTCGCACTTATTTGTAGAGTTCCAACAAGTCAAATTACTTCACCACATGACGCTTGGTATCCGGGAGGAAAGGACCCCCTGCCTTACTACCAGGGAAGAAGAAGTTGGACGTTCCTCTCATGACCCAAAATCCCCTCAGCTCTGACGCACTCAAGTGCCTGATGCAACTCATCAGAACCCAGGAGTTTGATGCCGTCAAATGGTGTCTACATTTCGACGTGTTCATTTTTGTTTGAGAACCTGGCGCCCCGTTGCGGGTATCATCACTGTTCATCGTAGATCGGTTATTGTTACTTGACCGTCTGTGACGGAAGTGAGGTATCGTATCCGATACAGTAACTGAGGCAGCTGACAACGCGGCGGATGCTCAGAATGTGAAACAAGTCTTAGTGAGATAAGATATTGTGAGAGATGAGTGTAGCATCATCCAAAGGGGATGGATCACTGTCTCGAATCAACACCAATCAACTTCTTCACTACCGCATATACCGGCATCGGCGGTATCAGGAGAGAAGACATGCTAGCTTGTCCACTTTGAAATACTGCAACCGTTTCCATGACGAGCTGAGTACCAAAAATAACGAGGTAACAATATTGTTTGAGTGCGGATAATAATGTTAAGATGTCCACAAAAGACATCGCAGATCCTCACTGGACAACGAATGGCACTTGAAGTGGCATAAGTTGTCGTCCGTGAGATAAACGATAATCGAGTGCCGCCAATGAAAAATAAAAATAGCAGCAACGATAGGACGTAATTTATAAGCATGCTATGAGCCGTTTGCTCCATCGATCAACGATGCATCAGATCTCATATATGTTGTAATTTGGGAACTCGTGGGGTTCATGATCGTGCTGTAGACGGTCTCGGAATTGGTAACACCATCTTCTAGGATACAATCCCTGACAACACGGGTAGTAGCAGCGACACCGGCAAGCTTTCCATGCCTTTGGATACACTTCTCGGCATTAGTCCTCCGCGGGTCGTCGGCAGGATCTTCCTCCCAGAAGTCGTAGTTAGTTTGCACGAGATACCACTCGTTGCCGATGGACTTCTCGCCTTGCTTGCCCAACAGCAAAGGCTTGGTCCTGGTCCCATTAGCAAACACCGCAAGTCCATCCTCATCTCGGGTTATAATAGCTGCTTCAAAGCTGGATCGAGCACCCACCATAGCGAAGTATATCGGGCATGAGAGGGGTTTGTTGCTTGTGAAGTCAATAGCCCCTTCGAAGTCGAACACTCCATGATGTTCAATCATGTCTCTGAAGAACTGCATGATTGGCACCCTCCCTTCCAGGATGTAATCGAACAACTCCTGCTTAGTTGGGTGAGTTCTATAGGTCGGATAGTATCGAGCGTTGAGCTGAATAGACAGCTTCCGAGGCACTTCAACAGTGATCAAAGATGCAGTCACCCAAGCGATTCCCGCTGCTTTGTAATTGGGAATTCCGTTATGAGGAACATTGATGACGTCAAGGTTGAGAGTCATCAACGCCGCATCAGCTCCTCGTGCTAAGGGAAAATCCATATTTCGACCATGGACAACTGTACCGCAAGTATCAGCAACCATAGCGGCGGTACACCAAGCACCTTTGGAATCTGATGAGAGTTCCGGGTATAGCAAAGCCTCCAACTCCGCAGCGTACATCAAACCTAGAAGATAGTGGACACTAACGTAATGACCAGAGCTAGCGAGCTCAGCAGAAATGCCTTGCAGCTCTCGCAGCTGCACGGGAAAGTATGTACTGGCAGCACGAAACAACTTCTGGTAATCACTGTCGTCCAACTCGAGAGCACCGAAGAGGGTAGTATTCATCTGGTGAAAGAAAGGCTCGAAAGACTTCCCGTAAGGGTGTTTATCTAAGACAGCTCTCACAGCCGGCTTGAAGTGCTCCTCCGGAGCCAATGACAAGTCAATAGTGACCGTAGGAGCTTCAGGAGGCAGAGCGGTATGAGCCTCCCCGTTGAGATCGCAGGCAAGTCCTTCCAGATAGCTCCTCACACACAGCACGAAAAGCACTCTGCTAAAAGTTGACCTTTTCCCCATCGATCGATTATAAGTGGGAAGAGCAGAACAGTGTTGTGACAGAGGCTCTGTCAGTGATAGAGTGACAAACTCTCACGGCGCACAGATTGCGTGAGACTTCCCAGCGTCGCGCGGATCAATGGGCACATTAATAATGTGCCCATTCATGTGACATTATACTGGTGTAGGGTCGGCTGACTCAAACCCCGTAAACCCTCAAATAGGTTGTGTGAGTTAGGCATCAGAAGATGGGGAATGACAGCAAACAAAGCCTCTTAGGAAAGGGTGCAATGAACGGGGCTGATCGTGCGCGTGTCATAACCGGCGTCACGATATTGGGGGCGTGAAGAACATGAAACCCTTGGGGAAGCCCTTGAAGTGGGGGAACGACACAGCCGTCCCTACTATGGGTCGGGTCCAACACTGCACGGGTGAAAGAGATGGGTCGTGTAACACGACCACGACGTAGGCAATCACAACACGACTCGCGTTGTGATGGCCTAGCGATAGTGCCTAGCGCTTCATCTTGTGACTCCGCACAAAAACTATACTACAGCTAGTGATAATCAAACTGAGCATCCCTTGGAGACTCCCTCATCGTCTTGTACTCTCTCCTAGTGCGTCTACCCTAGCGCTGAGCTCCGTTGCCTCTGTACGCATGGAGATAGAGTAGTATCCGTGTGCGCTGAGGCCAGGGGCAGTATGCGGATAGTGATTCATGAATCTTATCCATGATTCAACTCACGCTCTGGTCCGATTCATGATTCAACTCACACCTTGATTCGAGAGAACTGATTCAGATCTTTTCTCAGGAGAAAGAGTCGAGATTTCTGAGTATGAGTACTTGAGACAGAGTAAGATTACGGAATCATGAGCAAGATCCTTGATCCTTGATTTTAATCAGCTGCTGAATCCGATTCCTGATCCTTAATCACGATTCAAGATTCAAATCTATACTCAATGGCTGATTCAGAGTTTTCGGCACTGAATCAGAGTATTTCAAGTTAGTTGAGGCCCTGGCAGCGCTCGACACGTAAAAGCCCCTCCGACTCGAGAGTGTTGGGTTGGAGAACCGAGGCGCCATTCAACGGAGGCTGGATTTCCAAGTGGGGCGACGCGAGATTACCAATCAGTCTGCCACTAGTCTCAGACTACTGTAGTAGCTTTAATGACTAATCAGGTCGAATATTCATATATCATCGCGATGACCCTGATTTCTCGTTCCAGACTCTGCAACTTCGATTTCAAAACTAAAGTGAAAACAATTTCCAATTTAGGAACTTCAAATCGGACACATACGTCCCAACTCACCAAGAAAGACTTCGAGACTCCAGATTGAAGCCTTGCGTTCAGGACAGCCTAATGCTCCCTTGTTCAATCGAATATGATAGCTCAGGGCCTGAGCCTCAGGCTCGGAAGAGGAAGCTCCTCTCGTGGATTTGAAACTATTTTCACTGAAATTTTGAAATTGAAGTTCCTGGACATTTGTATCCAAAGTGGAGTTCCTCAATTCCCCTCGATAAAAATCGAAGTTACTAAACGAGAGCCTTCAACTCTATCTCGCCCGCCGCTCCAAATAGGCGTTGGAAAGATGTAGACTTATGGCCGGACTAGCGTTGAGTAATCAAGTCTACACCTTTTAAACTTCTAGTTCGTTTTTGGAACCATCAATTTCGTCGGGACGCGCGCTAGTTGGAGGTACGAATCCGAAACGGGAAGATCATATTCATAATTAGAACTTTCAACTTCGTCATAGGACATTCAAGTTCGTCCGAAGTCGATAGGAAGTTCAAGTTCGTGTTAATAGAACATTTAATTTCGACTTTCGAATTTTCGAGTTCGTCATAGAACTTTCAATTCCGTCAAGTACACCTTCAGACCTTCA